GCTGGGATTTTTTTTAATCAGGATTTTTCAGTTTTCCAGTAGGGAACACCAGAATTCCTGCTAGGGAGGCCAGTGGCAGGACCCTGCCTGCTCAGAGCTGGCACCTTGGACCCATCTGGCTGTGGCTGACCTCCTGGCCAAATGGGGCCAGGAGGACATGCTTTGACAGGTCAAAGCAGGCTGCCACATCCAGAACATCTTCCGGGTGATAGCTGCCCAGATGGCCGGACAGGGGGCACAAATGCCAGTAGTGCCACACAAAGGCCACCCCTGCAGCCGCAGTCCGCTGGCAGCTGGCCCACAGAGGCAGATGCCTCTACTGGCTGTGCAGTCCCCATCCGGGTCTGGCAGGTGGACAGCAGGTCACAGCCAGGCAGCAACCCCCACTGCCAGACTGCTGCTGTGGGTAGAGGATGCAGGGAACTCCCAGGGCTGCTTCAGCAGTCCAGCTGGCACAAGGGGTAGTGTCCCCAGGTACCAATTGGCTGGGCCCTGGAAGCTCCTGAGAGCTAGTAGCCTTGAGCTACTTGCCAGGGAGGCTTTTTATACTGCTGGGGCCAGGACAGGTGCTGGCCCCGGGCTCTAGCTCCCCCTGGCTGAAGATCCAGGAGGAGCCAGGCAGGGTTATTTTGCCCCAAGTGGCACAATTTGCTCCACAAAAAAGCCCCAGCTCAAATTTGCACTGCTTCTATTTGAGCTGCTGCAAGTGCACGTACTTGCATGTGTAGACACATGCTTAGAGGCTCGAAAATTTGAGGTAAGTGCTGTAAACATAGGTATATGCTATGAAAAGGGAGAATTTATGAACTTAAGCCAAGGAGAGAGTCTAGGATTATGAATCCCATTCTGACAGGCAGCTCCCTGAAACCCAGCTTATTAGTGGTTACTTTAGACAACTCCTTGCTCAACATGCTGGCATTGCAAATTCCATTCTGAGATGCCTAACTCTCTCCATGCAATGCATGGGGCACTTAGGCACTTTACTTAGAGCTGTGGATTCCACTGAAGGAGTAAGGCACCAAAACGTTAGCTGTTGCAAAGCTTAGCATTGAAACGCCTACACTGAAAAGTTCTTCTGTGCATTTAGCTTTTAATGGTCAGAGGCTTTGTAAGCCTCATAGCCAGCCCTGTGTCATACATTCCATGTTCCATAAAGATCAATGCAGTTAATGAAATAATATTTCTGTCTGTCAATAAAATGTCTAAATCTATGTTCTACCTCAAAATGTAGTATCACCCATATTGGAACTGGAGGTGCTAATGACAGCTAATTCCACTTTACTCAGGAATTCACTTATTTCTCAAGTTCACTGACATTTTCTGGCATGCCAATCTTTCCTACAAGCACTGGCCAACAGGAGAAGTTAGGGACAATTTTTAGACTGGAAGGAATAGGAAATGTTTTAGTGTGTTGTGTTGCTTAAGGATTAATTATTGTACACATGCTTAGACTCTTTCCATCAGCATAAATAGTACATAACTTGAAATATTGTTTTTATTTCAATAAAAATAGTCAGTCCTGTATTTCATTAAAAACACAAAACAAAACCAAAACACCCTTACACTTACCCATACAGTGTACTGAGGTTCTGGTGCACTGCAGTCTTTTGCAAAAATATAGGAACAATTTCCTGGGAAGTAGTAATAGATGCCATCAAATGTTTCAAAGTTATACTGTCCCCAGGATTTGCAAATTCCATTTCGCTCCTTACCAGCATTAGGTACTGGAAAGAATAAGGTAACAAGTACATTAAAAACAAAGCAACTAAGCCATGCTTATTGGCATCTACAGAAAATATTGCATGTTAGGTGAACATACATAAGACAGAAGATAATTTCATTGATAAATCATTGATCAATGATAAAGCCATTAAAGAAAATACCCCTCTTGGATTATATCCTGACCCCATCAAGTCTATGGCAGTTTTGGGTGGGGGAGGGGGTGATAACCTTTCAATTATGAAGAGGGATGAGGTAAGAGATTACAAACATACTATGTTCAAAATCATTTGGCTGAAGGCTGAGAAACAGGTTCAAATTCAATAGCAGCTTTGACCTAGTTTCCTCAGAAGGTGGAGGGGGGAAAAAAACCTAAATCAGTGTAGCTGATTTAGGCCCAGCTTTAAACTCTCCTTCCATGGCTGCTGTTATAAATACCTGAACCAGGCACCCTGAGGAGTCGGGACAGGACAAGGAAGTTCCAGGCCAGGTCTACTGCTGAGAAATTTGTTCTTGTCCTACATAGAACAGCCATGAAATCTGAGCCACTGAAATAATCTGGAAGTCCTGTTTTCCAAAGATGCATTTAGCCATTGTTAATGGAAGTGCAGTGTCCTTTTTAGTTAATGCAGTTAAATGGTGATGCGTTAGAATATCATAGAAGGCATCAAGTAATATAATACAAGAATGCTTGACACTAGTCTATACTTCCATACTCTGAGCACAGAGTATGAACCATCTGGCCCCTTGGGAGGATTACAGGTACATTATAAAGGGAATTGCACACCTGCTCTGACCCAGTATTAGGTTAACAAACTACCCCTAAAACTGTACTCTAACCTGATATTTAGTTCCTTTGTTTGTTACTGAAACTTACCAATTTGGCACCTTTTCCCTTGAGCCTGAAATGTCTGACAGTCGCATGCACCTGCCTCTGTACAGGTTGCTCCATTAAGGCACTCTTGAGGACAAGTACCTGCAAGGAAACATAGCTGCCTTCCAGTATATAATGAATCTGCTAAATAAATTTAATTAAATGTTGCTACTGTTAACTAAAACAGAACTGGCTTCATTAGCTAAAAGTTTAATCTACAGTGATCCTTCCATTTACTCTGTTCCATATTTAGTGTTACTTTGTTACAGGATAGCTTGAGATTTATAAACTAATAAGAGACCAAAAGGGCAGCCTCCTCCCAGTAAATAAAAGTTCAAGTCCCCATATAAAGAAACCAAATCCCAGTTGACTTATACCAAAAATATACATGTGTATACAATATACGTGCAGTTTATACACAATGAATAAATTCAGCACAATCAGTGCACATGTTTAGTTCTCCTTACTGAGTGTTAGAATGAAGGATTCATGCAAGCTATGAATCCCTCTGAAAATAAACGTATGCAGTGAAAACAGCTATAAATAATCAGCTTCATATGCTTAAAAATGAGTTAAATGGTTTAACAGTTGATTGGTGTCATAAGGCTGTCTTGCTTTACATTATAGTTGGTTTAGCAGGATTTTTAAAACTATGTATGTGGTTTCTAAACATAGTTTCATTAAATGGAATAACATACAAACTTAAAAAAAAAACACCTCCTTTTTTCTATTGGCCTTATGAAGAGAGATTGGTCTAAAACAAAACTGCAGATCTGAAACGCACAGAGTTTGGAGAGAGAGACAGAAAGAGAGAGACAGAGAGAGACAGAGGACCAGAATCCAAACCCAGATCAAAATATTGCAATTTGCCTTTTTCTACAAGGGCTAATTTTAAACCCCGTGTCCAAACATCTTTGGGTTTACCAGGGTTAAAAATTCTCCTCTGAATTCTGAAGTTCAGGAACATCTTTAGGTGTGTACGCATGCACATAAGTGAACGAGTGAGTGTACACGAATATTCCTTTTTTTTTTAAAGAAAGTAGAAGAATCTTAGTCTTGTATTTTTTCCATTGAAAACTATTTTTCAAATGCACGTAAAATACATCTATATTTGAAAATACAAACAAGAACATCGTCTCCTTCACCTCTATAACAACTGAAAAAGAAAGACTTTAGGAAAGCTTAAGCTGCACTATATGTGTATTCATTTTTATGGAGAGGATGGGAAAATACGCTGTGTTCAAGTAGTTAGATCTGGTCTCAAGTGGAGTATCACTGTTCAGCCTCTTTGATCAGATTTCTATGCAGGAAACTAAGAAACAAAGGTGCGAGCATGTCTATTGTAATTTCTGTGAAGTCTCTCCATTAACACTAAACTGCCTCAGATGGTTGCGTTCAAAAAATGCCTAGAATTTTCTAGAAGCATCTTTATGGTGCTCATCCAAGAGCCACTGTTACGTAAGCATCCCATGCAACAGCTACTCAATTTGCCAATGTCCAAAACTTTCAAACAAGACGAACAAACCAAACCAACCAACCCCAAAGAAACCTGTGGTAGAAATTAATTTAAAGCAATGAACAATTTTAGGTGATGAAATGCTATAGCATTTTTCTTTCAGAGAAGTTAAAAAAAAAAAGCACAGAAAATAACCATTTTCTATGATTAAGCAATTCAGAAGTACAAGTTACCTAATGCAATAAAAATGAGATATTACCAGGTTATCTATCATGAAGAAAATGCCATTAAGACTGATACAACCTTTGGTAAAATGAGATAGGTTATAGATGTGTGGCACTTTACCGAAATCCTTTCAAACAAGAAGCTATCAACACTGACCTCCTGATGGACTTGGACTCTGAATAAATGGCCCATGAAGTTGAGATTGAGGGGAAACCGTTTCAGTCTATCAAAGAAACAAGACAGGCAAAAGTAGAATATTAATACTTTGTGAATAATCTGACTGGTACAAGCCAGGGGGGTTGCAGCAGTTTTAGGAAATGATTTTGCATCAACGTAGAGCCTTTCATCCACAGATTTCCAAAACGCTTTGTAAACAAAAGGTGAAGTTACTTCCATGGCCGAAATGAAGCCAAAACTGGGATGCAACACAGTGATAAAGTTACTGCTTTTCCTTTTTGTGATTTGCTAGCACAGAAATAGCTGTCTGACCGAGGCAGATACGCAACACTTGCTTCTTGGTATCTCTCCCTTCTCCCACTTACTACCCCAAGGTCAACAAATTTGCTGCCCCCTCTGACAGGGCTGTTAAATGGTGACGACTTCAACTTAGTAGGATTTTGTGTTTTACAAAAGCAAAATCCTTCAGCATAACAGGTGAAAAGTTTGAAAATGACCTTAAAATTTACCTCAGATAAGTGATAATTCTGATTTGTCCCTTATCTGTACGAGTTGGTAGGAACATTGGATAGGAAGGGACCTGCCCTACTTGGTCATCAAGTTAAGTCCTCCAGTATCACAGGTAACCATCATAATATCATTCATGAACAGATCATGGTCCATCCTATAACTAACTAGATTTTGGCTTTGCTACTCCCGTGGAGAGCCTGGAACTTTACGTTGGAAAGTTAGAAATCTTAATCTAATTTCTAGCCTCAATTTATTCATTAGCATACAGTAAAATGTGGATACAGCACAGGGTTAGGTTTCCTGCTCCCCTTTGAAGATAAGGGCTTTTTAATTAGCTAGGAATAGTTCAGGACTGCAGAGGTGATCCAGCTGTTTGCCTGAGCTTTTATTTCAAAGGCTACCAACCTCTCTGTTTAGCTGTGTCTTAACACTGATAAGATCCAGCTGATGGTAGCTGCAGCACCCTTTGAAATAAAAGCCACAGCAAACAGTTGAGTAGCTCATCCTTAACTTGGCAACCTACTGCCAATTAAATAGGTTGTAAACCACCTCATATGAATGGCCCAGGTTCTACTACAGATCCAGCTACTCTTCTGCCAACATTATCCATGACCTTGAACCACTCAACATTCAAAGTATTTAGAAAGAGCCTATGCTTTCTGTACTAGAAATACCTCACCTATTTAATCGTACGATAGCATTTTCTTTTTCTGTGAATAAGTCAATTTGGCAGCTCAGTCTCATTCTGTGACTATTCCAGGTTTTTCTCTCCTCCTCAGTCATTTCCAACTGACAAGCTCCCAGTTTACAAGAGAAATTCGTACTAGTTCCTCAGCACATTACTTTACTCTCCTTGTTAACCAGGGAGGTTCCAGTTTGTCCCTAGGGGAAAAGTCCTGATGTTACTGCTCGTTTTCAATTAATATCATACTCTCCCACCTACTCTGTCCCAACCAAAACTGCCTTCAGCCTTCACATTATTTTTAACAGTCACAGGTCCTTAATTTTGCCATTAATCGTCTATTAAATCCACTAATAGGACATGTCTGTACAGACCCATTTTATCCTAAAACATGTCTTATTGCAAGGTGCACCAGGCACAATTCAGCACATCATCACTCCAATATAAGCAGGTGTAACAGTCTCAGCTGGAAAAGGCACTGTGGTCTTGAGGCAAAGAAACTCAGCTAGCTTTCAGAAGACGCAAGTTAAATTCCTGGTCTTAATTTTCTGCATGACCCTGCACAAGTCACCTTCTTGCTCTCTAGAACTCAGTCGCCATAGCTGTAGAATAGGGTAATAGCCATGCTTGGGTTTTTCAGGCTGGTATTTTCACAAATGGTTAAGTAAGGTGCCACTATATTTCAGATTAAACTCAACCAGGTGCACTATACAGCAATGAGGCAATGGGAGGAAGGGAACAACCTTCAGAGGCACAGAGTGTATCCTGAGAGCCTACTCCATAGCCCAGGAGTACCTGTCACAATGACACCATTTGCAAAATTGTGCATCTACAATTTCAGTACTGTCCTTTTCACCAGCCACTAACAGCGCCCTGGGTCTTTCTGTTTGCTATCACAAAAGATTTAACAGTCAAAGCCACCAGTTTTCCCCTTGGTGTGTGCCAGTCTGTCTGTTGCAGAGAATAATTCATAACACATTGTGCTGAAGAATAAATGAATAAAGCTGTAGAGGCTTTAAGTTTGGGAGAAGCAGGTATGGAAAAGCTTCTCCTTCTCATCTCTGTTTTATTATTACCATTTCCATTCTCCTCTACAAAGGCTTCATTGTGGCAATAGCAAAGCCCCACTGCAGAAAGGAGGAGGTTCTCTCCCCCACTCTCTCTCTCCGAGGTATGACCTACCTCTGCTGCTAAGAGATCTCTTTTCTGTCGTGTTGCATTAAACTCATTTCTGGAAGAAAACAAAAAGGATCTTGTATAATCAAAGGTCCCTGGTGCAACATGAATAAGCAGCTCCCTAGGGAGAGGTGTTTCTCTCTGATTTCCATCACTTTATCAAAGAGGTCTTTCTTGGGTTAACATTTAAAAAGGTGACTTTTTTTCTTTTGTAGTCTCATTTTACAGAATTCAGGAGTACTCAGATCTCTGTTCTTGAACACGAGCTCCTTGTTTAGGGAGGTACCTGCTGTTTACGGGGAAGGGGAGATAAGCAAATTGAGTTTATTTTATGGGATACAATATTGTGAAACTGTTTCATTGGTGCAGTACATACAGATGGTGGTAAGGTAACACCACTGCTGTATGCATGTGCTATCATCATCTATCTCCCTGCAATAGCCATTTAATTTTTTTAAACATAAATGGCCTCCAACTACAAAGTATTCCTAGTTTTCATTTCACATTATATAATAGGCACGTATTGATTAGATGTACTAGAAGTAATTAGAGGTACATTGATGAGATCCAATCCTGTTTCTACTAATGTTAAATGGCACATTTCCAAGACTTCAACAGAATTGGGAATTAGAGAATGGGTTTATTTGCTTATAAACAATTGCACATAACTGGTCTGAAAAGGGATTTTTCAGATAAAGTGCATTTATGGGTACCTCCTTTCCACATGGAATTAAACTTACATTTTACTATTATTTTTTTTTTCAAACAAAAGAACAACCATTATATGAAACATGAATCCCCTTATTCTTTGAACTTGGCTAAGACCACAGGAATATCATCCTTTTGTAATCACCCAGGCAGCACATTAGTTTTTCTACAATAGATCTGCACCTTTAATCACTTCTTCCCATTAACACTTTCCAAGGAATTAGCATTTTACATCTTAGTTACTGGACATTGTAAACGAGCTCTATGCAAGACATAATTTTAGTTCCACAATTTTCATTATATTTGTTCCAGGTATACTGTCTTGAAATACTCTACAGATGAAGAATGCAGACTCACCTCAGTGTTCTTTTCAAAAGAGAGAACTTGCAATAAGATCCTGTTAGATAAAAAGTCATTGAATTAAACATTTTTGTTTCCTTCTACTTACTTTGATAGCAACTACTTATTTGTTATACATTTATAAAATATGTTTAACCTTTGATCTTTACAAAAATTGCTAATTACTGTAATTTTTCCAGAAAAATCTTTATGGAGGCTTAATCTTTCAGTGGAATTTGGAAATATCCCTACCCAAGGCAGAAATATTTTTTTCTTTCGAGTAATTGACACATTACTTATTCATCGTTGGATCCTCAGTGTGTGCTTAGATAGAGGCTGAGCAGCTTTTACCTCCCTCTTTAATGAATAGAAAGTGCTCAGCTCCTTGCACAATTGAACCAAATCTGAAATACAGAAAGTGCTCAGAACAGCTCAGGATCAGACTTTCAGTATGACTTCCAATGCTTCTGAAAATAATTAACAGTTGTAAAATTTTATTCCAATCTATTTAAGCCTCTCACTAGCTTCGCTGCAGATTTACTTTTTATTTTAAAAATATTTCACTTTCAATATTTCACTGTGAAAGTAGCAAGGCTTTAGAAAACTCTGTTATTCTAGGGAATCTGTCTTCAGTATCTATTTTTACCATATGTGTTTACAACAGCACAGAGAGTTTCTATAATCATGACATCAAATATTTACACTAACATCCTAAAAAAGGTTCAAACCAAAGTTTCAAGCAAGTGTAGCCCAAAATCTTGAGCAAGGTCAGATCTTGTTTATAAAGTACCACCTTTGACAGTGAGGCAAGAAAACCAAGAAAAACTAATTTTGTTCTTTACTAATCATTTTCCAATAAAATTTAAGCTTTCAAATTTAAGCCTGAAAGCTTAAATTTTATTGGAAAAATTTTAAGTCATATTTACTTTCAAAAACAGTCAATGTGTGTGATGTAGAGCTGTTTAGTCTGTCACAGTTTTTTTTAAAGTCATGTGGTAGAACCATATTTGCTTTACAGTAAAAGTGAGAACAAGCAAATTACTGAAATGGTTATGTTTTTCTGAAAGGTATAGCGTAAGAATTGAGCATAAATTCTTACCTTGCAGAGAGAACAGCAGTGAATGAACCAAGAATATGCTCCAAGGTATCATTAAATTGAGTTTTCCCACAATGTTCATTTCAATATAGCTTCTTAGGATGAAATTTATCCAAATTGATGGTCTTAATTATGATGGCATCTTAGACCTGTGCGTGTCTGCAGCGAGTTTAAGCCTTTTATGAATTCAGATTTCAGTTAGATGCATTGAAAATAATGTTTGGGGAAAAAAGAAGAAAAAATATCAAACTTTGTAGCTGGATACAATTTCTGGAGCTTTCCAAGTGTCAGGTATAAAAACGTTTTTGGCTCCTTCTCTCTTGTTAGTAGTGCATTGTTAACTCCTCAGCAGTCTGTATTACTTACACTAGACCTGCAAGTCTTACTACTGCTTGGACTGAATGAAGCCTTTATAACATTTGTTGATAGTGACATACAAAGAAATTCTGCCTTGTCATGACGTGTTGAGAGATTCCCTCCTCCCGCCCCAAACAGTGATCACTGCATATTTTGAAGCTTGTTCTAATTAAAACTGCTGTCCTTTCTGTAGTTTATTATAGTGAGACGTTTTAGAGTACAAACTTAAAATCATGTGGTCATATAAAAATAATGTATAATGTATTAATTCAAAGGGAATCACTAAACAACACTTTTTTTTAAATCCTCATGATTTTGTCACACAAGAACTTCCGCAAAAGTTTGTCATTTGTTTTTAGGAAAAAAAGTCTTAAGAGTTCTCATACATAACAAAAAGGGGCCTGGAATTTGATAGTTCAGATACCTGTAATTTGGGGAAAGCGGGTTAATCAGCTTGAGAATATTATATTTATATTAGCCTTTGATGAATATGAACAAAGGAAAGATACTATCTAGTTTTAGGGTTAGCCTAACCCTAAAACTTCACTCTCTAACTGAATCTTAAAGGATATACCAGTACCTTTTTTTAAGACATATGTTGCTAATCTAAAACACGATTTATCATATTTCTGTGATCTCCTTTCCTCCTAGCCTTCTGTCCTTATGTCTTTAAAGACACTGATAGACTCATTTACATCAGGATTGAACCACGCCAATACACACTACAAATTGCTATATTTACTAGCATTCTGTACTTACTGATTAGTAATTCATTGGTTTAAATATTGGGTTAACTCTGAGCCTAATGAAAACAATTAATTGTCTTTAACCAAGCCAGGATTTGATTGAATGCCTTCATTCTATAAAGCTGCATAAAGTATTAAAAAAACAGCTTATTTATGATACATTCATGTCAAGAATATATTGTATTTTCACCGCAAAACTTTGAGAAGTTTATAAACTTAAGATAAGTCAACTTTAGATGCATCCATTTTGATTTTTAAATCACATATCAACAACGTTACTGTAAAGGAATTTAAGGAAGAGTGCTAATTGCATCTCAATAGGTCATTTTGGATAAAATACAGAAAAATACTGTCCCTGTTTTTTTTAAAGAAAAAAATTATTTTGTACATTTGACAAAATTGTGATTAGGCAGTTCCCATTTTGGGTAGGGTCTCTTACAGAACAGGAAATTGACATTGGCACAGAGACATTACCATCAACTACCTTTAACTATTGTTTAGGCACCGAGTGGATGGCTTTTAGTTATCTTTGACATATTTAAAAGCAGATATATAAAAAAGAAATAAAAAGCATCAGATTAGAAACCAGAGACATCAACCAAATAGCATTTCTTGCATATATACTCCTCTCCCCAAATGCCTGAGATGTACTTTTCAGTGAAACTCAGAGATGGTACTGGAAAGTTTTTTGTGCCAGTGTGAATTTAGATGTTGGTGGCCTTTCATATAGAATTTCCTACCAGCAGCTCTCTGCTACCCTCCAGTGGAAGCACTGTCACTCGAGAGAGAGGTAATTAGCCATATGGAAAGAGAAGTAGTCACTAAGCAGGTCACAGGGTATTTTAGGACTCTGGAATGTCAAAGCCAACACCAGACCGACACGGCTACAACCAACACCCCCTGCCAAAGCCAACACCATAAGCTTTATCCAAAAATCCAAGACAAGCAAACACAGGCTCTGGATCACTGCTGTTCTAGAAAAAGGCATGGCTTATTAAATGGGCTGTTGCAGTCTCCATTTCCTTCTCTTTCCC